TATATATTTAACAAAATAATATGTACAGGATGATTCAAATTTTGTTAAATATGTGTAAAATATGTATGTAATGATAGGGGAAAGGACTATAAGTAATATAATAAAATATTAATTATGTTTATCTCAGTAGTCAGACCTTATATGAGGCTTTTAAAAAAATTTTCTTTTGGGCCATGAATATATAATCAAGAAAAAATTTATGACCCCACTATGTAGACATACACATATACATTACGAATTTATGAATTATGATCAAAAAAGTATTCTTTTTTTTTTTTTTGAGATGGAATCTTGCTCTGTGGCCCAGACTAGAGTGCGGTGGCATGATCTGGCTTATTGCAAACTCTGTCTCCTGGATTCAAGCAATTCTTCTGCCTCAGCCTCATAAGTAGCTGGAACTACAGGCGTGTGCCATTACACCTGGCTAATTTTTTGTATTTTTAGTAGACACAGATTTCACCATGTTGGCCAGGCTGGTCTCGAACTCCTAGCCTCAAATGATCCACCCGCCTTGGCCTCCCAAAGAGCTGGAATTACAGGCATGAACCCACCTTGCCCAGCCCAAAAAAGTATTCTTAAAAAAACAACAAAAAAAACCTTTTGATAAGTTCTTAGTGAAATATCCAAATCTTTGCAGGACAAGAAGTGTCTCTACCTTGATTATAGAGGGAAAATCCTCTTAGATACAGTTGTCAGAAAATGGAGAGTTATCTCTGTAAACTTATAATCTGCTTATAGCATTACAAAGACATTTGAGGTGATACTTAATGATTATGGAAGTCTCTTGAAGATAGAAAGTTGGAGGAAAAACCCATCAGAATCAAAGTAGGCCTAACTACAGGTTGTCTTTTAGAATACTGGCAAGCACAATTTTTGTTTATGTGTTTTTTGCTTACTGGCATTTTTGTTTTCCTTCACAATGAAACTAGCTGTATTGCAGCCCATAGAATATAAGTTCTTCCAATTTAGACTGCCCATTTTATGGAATTAAAAATGTCAGTGAGTCCAGGCACAGTGGTTCACATCTGTAATTCCAACACTTTGGGAGGCCTGGGTGGGAGGACTGCTTAAGGCCAAGAGTTTGAGACCAGCTGTGCAACATAGTGAGACCCCCATCTCTACCAAAAAAAAAAAAAACAACAAAAAACGTAAAACATAGCTGGCATGGTGGCACACACATGTAGTCCTAGCTACTCAGGAGTCTAAGGTGGGAGGGTCTCTTGAGCCCAGGAGTTCCAGGCTGCAGTGAGCTATGATTTCACCAACACACTTCGGCCCTGGTCAACAAATCGAGGCCCTGTCTCAGAAAAATAAAAGTCAGTGAGAATAAGGTACTGCTTTTAGCCACTAAGATACCTATTTGTGAGCATATTTGAACAACACAGAGATATACTATCACCCCTTATATTTCTTTTGGAGTTGAAAACATGCATTCATATGCCTTAAATTATTTCATTCTCAGATACTTGTTTTGTTGTTGTTGTTGTTGTTGTTGTTGTTGTTTTGTTTTGAGACAGAGTTTCACTCTTGTTACCCTGGCTGAAATGCAGTAATGCAATCTTGGCTCACTGCAACCTCCACATCTTGGGTTCAAGTGATTCTCCTGCCTTAGCTTCCCAAGTAGCTGGGACTACAGGCATGCGCCACCATGCCCGACTAATTTTTAAAAATATTTTTAGTAGAAATGGAGTTTCACCATGTTGGTCAGGCTGGTCCTGAACCCCTGACCTCAAGTGATCCACCCGCCTCAGCCTCCCAAAGTGCTGGGATTACAGGTGTGAGCCACCATACCTGGCCTCAGTCTCAAATACTTGTGACTGAAGATATTCCCATTTTTAAAACAAGAAAACTTACGTAGCACTACGAGTTTGCCAAAGTTGAAATTAAAATGAATTTATTCCGTCCTTTGCAATCTTGAGTACCTTTAATGTATCAAGTATTTCAGAGGCCAAGGTTAAAGAATTGAGTAAGATGGAATTTTCACACCTTAGTATACTTGAGCCTCCTTACCCCATAGTAGCCAGATCTCTTCTCTTCTTGAGCTTAACGCAGCTGGGCAAGCCATGTGATTTGCAGCAATATCAATACCAACAGTGTCTAGGAAAGGACAGTCACAGGGAACTCAGGCTTCTGGTTTCCAGAGATTCAACCTGACTTGGTCTTCAGCCCCACCCTGGTGGGAACTCCATTGCTGGACCCTCCCTGAGAGTATCTGCCTCTCCCAAGCAGCATCTCTTCCTGCATGGCCATCCCTGCCTGACCAGAGATCCAGTGTGTAAGAATGTAGGATTCCTCATTCTTGATCCCAGTTTATCTGCTTTTGTATGTGCTAAAAGGCTGGATTTGAAATTAGGTGTTGGCAATATTAGAAAATTAGGTAACTGGCCGGGCGCGGTGGCTCAAGCCTGTAATCCCAGCACTTTGGGAGGCCGAGGCGGGTGGATCACGAGGTCAAGAGATCGAGACCATTCTGGTCAACATGGTGAAACCCTGTCTCTACTAAAAATACAAAACATTAGCTGGGTATGGTGGCGCGTGCCTGTAATCCCAGCTACTCAGGAGGCTGAGGCAGGAGAATTGCTTGAACCCAGGAGGCGGAGGTGGCGGTGAGCCGAGATCGCGCCATTGCACTCCAGCCTGGGTAACAAGAGCGAAACTCCGTCTCAAAAAAAAAAAAAAAAAAAAAAAAAGAAAATTAGGTAACTGTGCTACTGCCTGCAGGGAAGAGATTGCCCGTCACCATTTTGGGGCCTCTGTTTCCAGGTAAACAGAGGTTAATTGTACTGAAAATAGAAGAGGTGCCTTCAGAGGACTTTCAGTAGTGAAGAAAGGGTTAATCCTGTTTCTCTACAAACCTTGGAAACAGTTTGTCTGGAATTGTCCAAACCATTACCACAGAGCTGATCATCAGAACTGATATTACATGTGAAAAAGGAAGTCTAGAGATGTGTGGTATGTTTGATAGAATTGGTGGCTGGATGCTTTCCCCCATAATTCAGCAGTTGATATTTTAGTTAGAGAGGCTGTCTTTCAGACTGAAGTTGTTTCCAGTAACTGCCTTTTCCAACTAAGTTAAGATGAGTTGAGAGCATGCTAAGCATTCTCTCCACCACCTATTGCCATCACATCTATATATTTATGAGGAAAGAGAAATCTGAGATGTACTGGAGTTTTTTGGTTTTTATTACCACTGTTAGCCAAGCTCTATTTTTTTATTACTAATTTGTGGACCCTTGTAAAGCTGCCTGATATGAATATGTTCTTGTCTTTCACATTTCTGTTTAAAGGGCAGGGGAGAAGGGTAGCAAAAGAGAGATGAAAGTAGATTTCATTCATTTATTCTGTTAAAAATTTTAATTGAATACCACCTATATTCTGGGGCATTTGTTCTTGTTGCTGTGGATATAGCAGTGAAAAAGACATGCAAAGAGGGGAAGGAGAACAGATGTAAAACTGGAAAGTGAATTGGTGGGGATTGGGCTGGGAGGAAGAATTTAAGTGCTCGGAGAAGGTCTCAGATCTTACATTTGAGCTAAAATGTGGATTACAAGAAGTTGCTAGGATTGGACTACATGTCTTGCTAGTCATGATAATGACTTGGACTGGGGTGGTGATGACAAAAACTCAGACCCTGTTACAAGCAGGAATTTCTCTGGCTTCCTGCATACTTTTTCAATGCAGTCTTTAGAGTTAATCAGCTTTACATTCTAATTTAAATTTAAATAAAGTAATATTTTGACATAGCATATAGTTATGTGATTTCTGGGTGCCTTTTTTTTTTTTTTAAATTGTTGAAGCTTTTGACTATTAAGTACTAACTGTAAAACATCTAATTTCTTTTTGGCTTACTTCTGTGTACTCATCCACCTAAATCTATAATATGTATCACAGTGTTTGCCAAAGTTCTTTACAGCTGTTTATTAAAATATTTATTGTCTTTCTTATTACAAAAGCATTATATAGAAAGTAAAACAAAATATAATGAAAAAAATAACCTGTACCACACCTGTAATCCCAGCACTTTGGGAGGCTGAGGTGGGAAGATAGCCTGAGCCCAGGAGTTATCAGCTTGGGCAACAGAGTGAGACCCCTATCTCTATTTAAAAAAAAAAAAATGTGTAAGTAGCTGGGCATGGTGATAGGTGCCTATAGTCCCAACTACTCAGGAGGCTGAGGTAGGAGGATCACTTGAGCCTGGGAGGTTGAGGTTGCAGGGAGCCATGATTGTACTATGCACTCCAGCCTGGGCAACAGAGGGAGACCCTGTCTCAGAAAAAGTAAAAAATAAATAAAAACCTATGATTTTGCTATACAGATAAACATTTGATTTTCTCTTTAGTCTTTTCTTCTGTGCACAGATATATTTATTTCCAAGTGTTTTTTTATTTTTTGAAGAACTAAATTTGGTAAACAGTAGTTTTCTTAAGAAGTCAGTAGTTAGATGGTTTGTTTCATTTACTTTTTCATAGCATTCTTCAAGGTATGGGATCAATTTCCTGTTCTTTTCATTTGAACTGCTGCTGTCATTAGTTGAAAAGCCATCTTCCCATTAGATGTTTATTGTATAACTCTGATGTATTTTGATTGCATTTTCTATGTCTTCAGCCAGCTTTGCAGTAATATCCTTAAAATGTTCATTGAGCTGAAGTTACAGATTAGTCCTGGAGTTCAATTTCTTTTCCCTTTTTGGCCTTATTATTTTCTCAGAGCTATAGCTTGGCAAACTTTGCCAAAAACCACCTTTCTAATTTTCAGGTAATATAAATTCAATATGTTTGTTAATTAAATCTTAGATTGCTTCTATGATTTATGGTGATTTATTTCAGCTTATAACAATATTGTCTAGATATTGAAGTGTTAGAAATATTTTCTTAAAATGTTTGGAACGAACTTAGATCTTAACTATAAAAGTATATTCAGAAAAATATAGTTTTTTTGTAATGTATTTGTCCCAAAAGCAGACTAAGATGTAATGATGATTCTTGATGATTATTTTGCAGACCTCAAAGGAAGACCTTCTGCAGGCTGATTTTGAAGGTGCTTTAAAGTTCTTTAGAGTTCAGCTTCCAAAGAGATACAGGGCAGAGGAAAATGCAAGAAGACTGATGGAGCAGGCTTGCAATATTAAAGTAAGACACATGAGTTTTTATATAATAAAGGTAAAATATAAATGCAGAATAATATGGCAAATTGGCTGGGCGCGGTGGCTCACGCCTGTAATCCTGTAATCCTGGCAAATTGGCCAAGGCGGGTGGATCACAAGGTAAGGAGTTCAACACTAGCCTGACCAACATGGTAAAACCCCGTCTCTACTAAAAATACAAAAAATTAGCCGGGCAGGGTGGTGCGTGCCTGTAATCCCAGCTATTCCGGAGGCTGAGGGAGGAGAATCTCTTGAACCTGGGAGACGGAGGTTGCGGAGCTGAGACCGTGCCATTGCATGCCAGCCTAGGCAACAGCACAAGACTGTCTCAAAAAAAAAAAATTAATATGGCAAATTATGTAACATGTTTTTTTTATATGTTGCAGCGTTTGATTATGTTTAAGGTTAGATTGTGTATTAACTGGTTTCTCCCAGACATTTTTGTCAGGCTGATATGTATAAAGTAGCTGTGCCTTCTTGTGGGACTTACACGGAAAGTTGGCAGGCTCAGATTATAACAATACGAAGACAAACATTTATCTCATAGGTGGGGCTCTAGAGTGGGCTGCTGTGATAGTGGTTTCCATGGAAGCAGACTTAGTATTTAGCTTTTGCCATCTGTTTAAGATTATTTAGGACAAAGCAAGAAAAGCTTGCTTAGGCAGTGCTATCATTTCTCTAAGGGACTTGGAAAGTTTGAGTCTTGATCTGCCCATTCCCATCCCACACATGCCAAATATCCATGATACGCTGGTCCATGTCACATGTCTGATAAAACTGAACAAATTTTATAAATCAATTTGAAATTGAAAACTCTTTTCAGAAAGTTGTAGTATTAAGGTGCGAGAGCACTCTTAAAATATTTGAAACCAATTGACCGATGTTAATTCTTATACCTCTGGAATGTACCAGGGGATCTTTTTACCTAACCATAATAGAAATATAAATTGTTTTCCTAAACAGAGATCCTGGTCTTAGGGACTTTACATTCTTGCAGAAGGAAACAGACAGCAAGCAACATAATAAATTCTTTATTTAATATGTTAGAAGGCAATAAACAGCTAGGGAAAAAAGAAAAAGTAGGGGAAGATAAAGGGAGACTGGATTGGTGGGGAGCAAAGCTTAGGGTTATTATTAAGGTAGTCAGTGTGGACCCCACTGAGTCCGTGAAGGAGATGAGAGATTAGTCATGAAGATGTCCTGGGGAAAAGCTTTCTAGGCAGAGGTAATAGCCAGTTGAGGCCCAGAGACTGGCTCATGCCTGGGAAGGATTGAGGAACAGGAAGAAGGCCAGTGCAGCTGGAGTGAAGTGAATGAAACGGGAGTGGTAGGAACGGAAAATGTAGGCTCTTGTAAGCATTTAGGCTTTACTTTGAGTGAAACAAGGAGCTCTTGCAGGGTTTTTGGTGGAGCAGTGATATGATCTGTCTGAGGTTTTTAGAGGATCCCAATGGCTATTTTGTTGAAAACAACCATAGGAAGGTAAAAGAAGTAGGGACATCAGACAAGAGATTTTGGAGTAATCCTCTTCAGAGATGATGATAGACTGAACCAGGTGACAGCAGTAGAGAAAGAGATGGAGATGGAGTAGAGATGGAGCTGGTTGGAAGCTGGGGATATTTTGAAAGAGAACCAATAAGGTTTCATGATATATTAAATGTGAGTGTGAGAAGAAAGAGTTAAAATGATTGCACAGATTTTGAACTGAGCAACTAGGAGATAAGCGTTGCCATCAGCTTATTAGGCGTGTTACTTAAAAGTTACTTTGACATGGACTTCTTTTAGGCACCACAGTCACTGTGACATTTTTGTGTATAACACAATTGTTTTGAATTTTAACCTGTTTTAAAGCAAATTATAAATGTTAAAAAGTACAGTTCAACTTTGAAAGTAAGTAACTGGGAAGAAAAAGATTATTTTGTCTTTCAAGTGAGCATTATATTCTAAGAGATCATTTTCCAAAGCTATCATAAGAAAGATGGACTTCTGAAGTTTTCATTCTGAAATGCAAACTCTTTAAAGCCTTCACGACTGATTGTTTTATTTGGCCAAAGTCTAAGCCACATTTATTTGTAACTTTGAAAGTATATTCTAGTGGGCATGGTGCCTTTCACTGAATTTTGTGGGTGGTAATTTTGAAAGGTAGGCTTCAGCCAATTGATTATTCTGGAGATGCCAGAGAGAAGTATTATAAATTGGGTCAATACTGTAGGAATCCTTTAAGATAAAATATTCATTTCTAAGAATAAGTACAGGTAAGGTGAAAAGTTAAATGTTTTCAAGGGAAATCTCATAGCATTGGCAAGTCACTGAAGACAGAAAAACCCAGGAAAACAATTGAAAAACATTAAATGTGTAGAGAAAAATTTTTTTCTCCAGTATAATTTATGAAGTTACTGGAGGTGGCTAGTTGTCAGTCCAGAAACATGCGATCTGAGAGCTGGAGAAACATAAAATGTTAGAAATCAAGTTCAAAATATAATCCAAATGGACTATTCCTGGAAGAGAAGTGCTGGGTACAACTGGAATAAATTTTTTGGACATGAATAGGTAAATATGAATATTTTTAAAGCTTTTAATAAGGTTTCAGTAATTTAAATTTTTTTTTTTGCTTACCTCATCATGTAGTCCTCTATAACCAGGTTAAAATTTTTAATAATAATTTTTAAAGTCTTCAAAGTTTCTTGTGAGGTTTTCTTTGCGTTATCTAGGGAGAGTACCTTTTTCTTAGATATTTAAGACAGCATCTACAGGACACCATTTCATTTATAACATATGATTGTAGAGTGAATGATTGTGAGGCGGATGTGAGATGAAACTGAAAGAAGGAAGACAGAAGTAGTCCAGCATTAGGATGGGATTGTGCTGGGACTAGAATGTAGGTCCCCAACCCAAAGTTCTAAAATTGTTTTTAAACCAAGACCTACATTTTGGTTGCTTTTATGTCAAAACCATGACTATACGTACATGCTTCTATACATACATGACTGAAGAGATACTTACCCTTATACTGAAACACTCTGCTTTTTTTTTTTTTTTTTTTTTTTTTTTTTGAGATGGAATCTCACTCTGTCATCCAAGCTAGAGTACGGTGGTACAATCTCTGCTCGCTGCAACCTCCCAGGTTCAAGCAATTCTCCTACCTCAGCCTCCCAAGTAGCTGGAACTACTGGCACGCGCCACCACGCCTGGCTAATTTTTGTATTTGTAGTAGAGACAGGGTTTCACCATGTTGGCAAGGCTGATCTCAAACTCCTAACCTCAAGTGATGTGCCTGCCTCAGCTTCCCAAAGCGTTGAGATTACAGGCGCGAGCCACCGCTGCCCAGCCTATTGTATTGTATTCTATTATTCTATTTTAAACCTCTCCCTGCATCCCAAGAAAATCCCCAAACGGAAAGGCTCATCACAACCCACTAAATCGATTTTACAATAGCTTGTAGTTTTGAAAAAAGACTAAGACCTATCCCACTGTTCCTACTGCCTCCCCATTCCCCATTCTGATCTACCATAACCCACGAGAGGCTGTGGATGATGAGGTGTTACAGTAAACAATGGAAGTGCGTGTGTGGGTAAGGATGTGAGTCATCATGCCATCATTACAGTGGCTTGTGCTGGCAGTTGGAAATTTTAGGAGATGATGGACTTACAGACTGAGGCTTATGTGTTAGACAAAGCATTCATGGACAAAGGTGACTGCAGGCATGGAATAGGCAAGAAAATTTAACTCCTTATCCATAGACTGTTTAAGATTAAAGAGAGAATTTCTGCCAAAGTAATCAAATTTTTAACATTTTAAAGTTATTTTCAAAGTTGGTGTTCTATATAGTTGTATCTTTTTTGAATGGATATGTTTCCATTTAATTACCCCCCAAAATAATCACTTTCCTTTAATTTTAAGGAACTGTGACCAGTGATTTAAGTAAAACTGAAAACTGTTTTTAAAATAGATGCAACAGTTGCAGGCAAAAAATAACTTGGTAGCTCTGTATATGGTTTATTTCTATGAGTGTACCAACAAGATTTGTTAATAAAACACATTAGATTGGATAAATAATTTTATTTTTCTAAAACTTATTATGACATTAAATATTAGGAACATTTTCAATAGCTTCTAAACTGGTAATTTAACTAATGAGACTCTAAATTATTCTGACACCCTCTTGTTCCTATGGTTTCAGCTAGGCTAAAATCAGAAAACATGTTGACCCATCAGGCTTTACTTTGAATAGTCATTTGGTTGCTTTTAATATTGAAATCAAGAGCTAAGTAAAAGATGCTTAAAGTGCCTAATATGAATATCCTGTACTTTCCCAGGGAGTCAGTTTTTATTGAATATCATAATTTGATTTTTGTCTTATAGTTAAAAATTCTGCCATTGCAGAGCTTCTTAAATTTGGATTTTGGCCTCAGAGCCTCTAAATTACCAGAAATTTGAATCTTTTTTGTATGAACATATGAACATTTTGTTTTTCTTGGTAACATAATAGATAGCTTTTTTTTTTTTTTTGAGACAGAGTTTCACTCTTGTTGCCCAGGCTGAGTACAATGGTGTGATCTTGGCTTACTGCACCCTCTGCCTCCCAGGTTCAAGCAATTCTCCTGCCTCAGCCTCCCAAGTAGCTGGGCTTACAGGCATCCGCCACGATGACCGGCTAATTTCGTATTTTTAGTAGAGACAGGGGGTTTCTCCATGTTGGTCAGCCTAGTCTTGAACTCCCAACCTTAGGCGATCTGCCCGCCTCGGTCTCCCAAAGTAGTGGGATTACAGGTGTGAACCACCACATCTGACCTCATAATATATACCTTTAAATGAATTCTTAAAGGGAATTCAGTAACTCAAAAAAAGTTAGCTTCTGTACTGTAGGACAACCTTAAAGTTGTTAAGCAAATTGATATTTTTATAGACTGTTAGAAAATATAAATGGCATACCTATATATATGTTAAGTGCATATATACATAATCTTTATAATTCTTGATCTGATT